GCACTAGCCGGCTTTTAAAAATGGCGGCGCCGGCTTTATGCTAATGAAGCCCGGGAAATTCAAATCCCGGGCTTCATTAGCAAGTTCGGTATGCATACATTACCCTGCTAGTTCGAACTAGCGGGGTAGTGTAGACATACCCAAACTGATTACCCAGCCATGGAACAAGCAAACCCCACTTGAGAATTGCTTTCCTCCCACTGTCCCCAACAGAAATCTCCTCCTCTAAAAAAGTCTTAGTAATGACCTCCACTTACTACAGAAGATATAAAATGAGACCATTATTTGTTTGGGGGTTAATGGATCCTGTCAGAGCAGCCTGGATGATGTGGAGGTCTGTAACAGAGCAAACTGTGGGGAATTCCCCATTGGAAGTTTGAGGTTCAATACTATCAAATCAGAATCAGCAAATCTGAATTTAGTTATAAAAATGAGCCTCCAAGTTTCACTTGTTTTCAAGCTATAGGGTTTCTTTTTCAAAACTTAGACTGCAGGCTTTATGCAGCTCTATCCACAAATGAAACCAACATCGTCATCTTGGTATGTTTCCAATCCAGCTGGAACAAGCGAGCAGAGCTAGGATTCAGAAGGAACTCACTGGTATCATGTAGCAGCACCTCTTTCAAGTTGCCTTTCTATTTTTCAGAACCTCGGCTTGCATTTTTTTAAAAGAAAACAGCTTCTAGATTTTATGGTTGCAGAGACCAATTTGAAAACAAGGACCAAGTGTAACTAATACAGTGATGTCAGCAGAAACTGAAACAGTAACTCTCAGAGATATGAATAGTCTCATTTATCTCCATGGGACTAACTCAGATATACTATGATAGCTATGTCAATATTTAAAATATTAACTATTTCACTACTAAAAACATACAAAAAAGGAGAGGGAAGATTAAGAAGATCTACAAAAACTACTATGAGTTTGTTCATTTTGGTACCAATAGGGACTGAGCTTGGAAGAGTTTTCACACATTTCCCAGCTGCTTAATCAACCCAAGATGCCACACACACAGCCTCGAGAGGCATGTGTGATCTCCCAAAAAGTCAACTAAACTCAAGAAATACAGTTCATCTGACCCTTATCAAGAGAAAGCCAACTCTAGTAGGCATCATGTGTGTATTTTGAATCCAATGGGGGGGAAGCCTTGACAGCCCAGATAGGTTCATGATCATGTTTAGGACATATTTCTGCACAATGTACTGTGAGCAGAGATTAGAGCTTTTGTTGTTGTTGTTGCTGATGTTGATGGAACTTGGAAGAGGTATCAGAGCTATTAATGTCACTGACCTCTGCCCCCGATGATCTGACTCCTGCAAGAAAGTCTGCTCTCCTGAAATCTTTCAGATGCTTATGCAAACAATATAACATTTACTTATTACTTTCAGATTCTTATATAACTAAAATGTACATGTATACTTGTGCATATGGACTATTCACAGGCAAAAAACAGTTGTGCATATAAAACATACACATGCAGCATAAGTATATGCAAAACTGTGTTACATGTTATACACCAGTTCTGACAGAATTACCTGTGCTTCGGTTAAAACTACTACTGATCACTGAAAAGGAAAAAATGTAAAAAATAGCAAAGCATACACATAAATAGATATGTTCATAGTTCAATGAGTTAGCCTTACCAGTGCTGTCATCATAAACAACTGTGACGGTTTTCCACTTGAAAAACTGCACAAGGTCAAGGATGGCACGACTGAGAGAGGAGAAATCTGGGTAGAGGCTGACATAGAATGAGTCCTTGTTGTCTGAAACTTGATGTTTCCAGCGGGTCTGTATATGTGGAACACCCAGTGCATTGCAGATGGATTGCACGGCGTTAGCTGAAGAGCTATGAGAAGGTCCAAAGATAGCGGCCACCCCAAGGGAGAGCTGATCACAGGCTAAAGAAGAGACAGAAGTCTGTCAGTTGTGAGATGCTAAGGAGCTCCCTTCCGTTTTCTAGTTTAACACATTTATTTACACTGATATTTTTCTTAAAATAATGACAAAATTGAACTACAGCTTTAATTATTTATTGTGATTTGATAAACAATACTTAACACAGATACAGCACATAGCTACTTTTAGTCAAAACTCTCACTAATGTCAACAGAAGTTACCAAGGCTCAGCTCCAGCACATCTTTTCGAAAACAGGAGAGGAGAAATCAAACTCTAATGCAGCTTATAGCAAGTATAGAACAACAGGCAGTAGTGCCTTTAAACCCAAGCTTTAGAAATTCTTCCCCTCCTCAGTTTACCCAGACTACTTCCCTAGAGAACCCAATTACACAGTGGATGTCAACCTATTCAGACAACGTAATGTTAAGCAGATATTGACTTATGTTAAAGTGGACTTTGGGATATATTGTTCAGAGAGGTACAGATTGAACCCATCTAGTCCAGCACCTTTGGAACCTGACCAGTTTTGAACCAGAGAATTTTCTGAACCACAGGAAGTCAATATTGTCTAGTAGCATTGCCAACACTTCCATTGCTTACTGGGCTCTTAGAAGTCATTTAGAGGTAAACTAGAGCTAAATAACAACACAGAACACTGAGAGTCAGGACTGGTGGCTGTAAACAAACTTCATGGGACTGTGGGAATCTTGGCCACTCCCATGATAAATGGACATTCAGGTAACTAAAATCATGCTGGATCACGGATGCTGCCAAACCAGACAGAATGTGCCAGACTAGAGAGGTTCAACTTGTATATATTGTCAGAGTACAGGGAGGAGGTGGTCAATATTTCTCTTTAGGGAGTTTAATTGTTGAGATTCATTAAATAATTAAATCAATGTGCATTGTTAACATCCTGACAGAATATTTGGAAATATTCCTGTTTTGGCCATGCATTTGTGAAATAGACCAGGATTGGTGTTTTAAATTGAATTGGTCAGCTAAGTTAAATGGTCAGAAAAAGATCTCTTAGCCCGAATAAAGGAATGAGACATAAAAGATTATTACTGTTACAAAGTCAATACTGCTGACTGCCAATGAAGCAAGCAGTAGAAATTCGCATATCACTCTTTTCACTAATTTAAAATTAATAATTCTTGTGTGTTTAAAAAGTGGAAAGGTCCTGATTGTGTACTGAGAACTAGGCAGGAACACTCCTGCAGAGCTCTGATTACTTTAATGGGGTTTTATGTAAGCATAGGGACAAACCCACAAGACTGTCAGTGCAAGATTGGGGTCTAAAGTGACTACATTTTCCTACAAAATGTAATTCACTATTGCACTTCAATTTCTACTCATACCGCCCTCCCTACGTTTGTAGTCCACAAGCTTTATGCAAAGGCAGTAAATGGGATCTATAACAACAGTGATAGGTACCAGATGGCTTTTCAATGGGCTTTTTTTAAATGTTTCTGAGATTTTCAGAATGTGATTTAATATAGTACTTTCTATAAGAAGCATACCATTTTTTTCTAATGTATTGAGGGAGATTGGGATTGCGTTTTCGTAATTCTTTCTCCAAACATTCTGGGGATATTGTGATTTTTCCTGGGGTTACTCTTCTGTATGGTATCTTTAAAAACTCATTAATCTCTCATCTGAAGTTGACTCCAAGAGGCTGTGTGATTAAGAAGTAAAAAGACTATATTTTTATGTGATGTCTGCTTGCTTAGTAATGGGCATACTCATGAACCATGTAACTAACTAGTCAAATACATAAACTCAGTTGTTAAAAGCCTGCTTTGCAGCCATCATACTAAATATAGCATTTTATGCTAAACTTTAGCCTTTGATTTTTTACTAAGAAACCTTTCAGTACAAAAGAGGTTGTGAAATGTGTGAAAGTGCTGTGGATTCATGAATTCGTGAACTATCAGAGTGCCAAGATTTTACATAAAGTTTAATACAGGTTGGACTTCCCTTGTCTGGTACCCTTGGGACCTAAGTGGTCCCAAACAACGGAGTTTGCTGGATGAGGGGAGGTCAAGGCTCCAACCCTCCACCGTGCTATGCCTGTCCGGGATGACATCCCCTCACTGTGCCAGCCCCAGACAGGGTAAGCCTTGTTGCCTCCAGCCCTAGCCAGGACTGCACACCACTCCCCCTACAAGGCAGGCCCCGGCTGTGCACCCAGCTGACTTCAGTCCTGGCTGGGATTATGCTCCTGCACTGTCAGCCCTGACACAGGCTGTACTCCTGACCGCCAGCCCCACTACCTCCAACTCACTGCGGCTGCGCTCCTTGCCACCAGCTCTGGCCAAGGCTGTGCTCTTCACCACACTGGCCCTGCTGGGGCTGGGTTTCCCACTGACAGCTCAGCCCAGGCTGTGCTTTTGAACCTGGGCAGCCAGGCCTCTTTAGTCCAACAATATTCATGGTCCATGGATGTTGCTGGACCAGAGAGTCCCAGATTTTAGAAGTGCAACCTTCACAGTCTTGTTAAGTGTAAATAAAGTGGTGCTTTCTCATTCTGTGGCTCAAAAGGGACATAGGCACATACCTGTACATATATGCAAATTGCAGCATAAGAATAAGACGATAGAGAGCATCTTTGGACACAGCCCATATACAAATTACTTAGCTGCTCTAGGAAAATAATTCAGACTCAGAAAATTTATAGTTTCTGTCCTATTTCTTCCTTGCTTGCGGAGGTGAATGAGGAGAGGCAGAGTATTCCACTAGAGACCCGTGCATATAGCAAGTTATTTCCCACACCCCATTCGCCAGCTAATTCAATAGAACATGATTAACTTTAAAAATTAACCATATTAATTACAGTTGTAATTGTACTGTTAAACAATAATAGAATACCAATTGAAATGTTTTAAATGTTTTTTATATTTTCAGATACAGGTTGGATCTCTCTGATCCGGCACCCTGGGGACGTGAGAGGTCCCAAGCCAGTCCCAGCCTCATAGCAGCTTGTGGGCTCTGGCCCCACTTCTGTGGGATGCTCAGGGTTCTGGCCCTCACCCTGCGTTGTCTTGGGCTGTCACCAGCCTGTTCCTGTACCGCTGGGGGCTGCCCCTACCCAGTCCCAGTGCTGCAGGCTGCTGATTCCAGCTCCAGCCCCACTGCTCCTGCCCCAGCTACTGCCCCATCTTTCCCCAGCTCCTGCCCCATCTTGTTGCTTCAGCTCAGTCCTTCCTTAATTGCCCTTCTGCCACTAGGCTATCAGTGGTAGGCAACCTATGATTTCCATGTGGCCCATCAAGGTAATTTGTGTCATGAGACATTTTGCTGACATTGATCATCTGCAGGCACGGCTCTTCTATGCTCCCAGTGTCTGCGGTTTGCTGTTCCCAGCCAATGGGAGCTGCAAGAAGTGGCAACCAGCACCTCCTTGTGGCACATTCACCTGCAGGTACTGCCCCTGAACCTCCAATTGGCCAAAAGGAGAACTGCAGCCACTAGGAGCTGTGGGGGTCCGTGCCTGCAGACAGTCAATGTCAGCAAAATGTTTCAAGGCCTGCCAGCAGATTACCCTGATGGCCTGCAGGTGGCTCATGGGTGCAGATTGTGCACGAATAGTTCGGCGTTCATTATCCCTCACACATATGCCTTGACACATTTCTTCACATCACCATTTGCATTAAATTAGAAACTTCTGATAAAATCTGATTAGCTGACCACTGCACCTGAGATCTTTCCACCATTCCAACTACTTTGTTAATCAAAAACGTATGTAATTTCCTCTCTGATGGAGAAAAAAATGCATTTGCATAGGAAGCGAGCGAACACAAGCTTGAATCTAACACCTCTGTGTTTTAGGAATAAAAGACCACAAAAACAAATCTCAAAACACAGCAGGACTTCTCTCTTTTATATTACTATGTATGGTAACACAGCGGTATATTTTGTATGAGGTATGGCAATGCAAAGGTACAGAAAGTATGGTAACAAGGTCGAAGCTATCCAGAACTCACAATCATGGCAATCGGTTTAAATTAAAAAATAATCCATTTAACCAAAGTTTGGAGGCTATGATAAAGCTATTTGCCAATGTTTTTAAGCACAGGCTTAAATTATAAACCGGTGTTTACGTGCCATTAACTTCAATACGACTTAAGCATCTGCTTAAATGCTTTGCCAAAAAGGGATGAACTTTAAAAATGTGATCAAATGCTTGAATTGAATTGGAGGCTGAGCACACAGGAAGACGTTATAGAGATCCTTGTGATTCATAGACTCACTATTCACAATTTCACATATTCACTGGTCTCTTCCATCCCCAAATCCCACCCCTTCCTGCCACTGCCTTGCCCTGTTCTCTCCACTGCACCCCATTCCCCAGCCTTGGGGGAAGGGGCATGGTCTTGGGGAAGACTATTGTGAGGAGGCGGCAGTGGTTAGACCCCTCCCTCTGCACTCACTGTGGCAGTTTGGGAGCTGCAGGGAACTCACTACAGGGACCAGGAGCTATGGGGAATTTACTGTAGGGACCAAGATCCACATGAAAACAGAGTACTTGCTTCGCTTCCTCCTGCCGCCAGTCTTCACACATTTCACCATTCATAGTAATGTCAGGAATGTAGCCACCACAAATGGCGAGGGTTTATTGCATTCGTTACAAATTCTGTACTATCACAAAATTCAGAACTTCAGATTCTGAGCTTCCTAAATCAAAGGGGTTGGCTCAAATTTATCTCTAATGTTAACAAATACTGAAGACACCAGCTGGGTTCTCACTGGAGCATGTGTTTACCCCATTGTGATTCATCTAGGGTAGGCACTTCAAAGCCTCTGTGTTAGCAGGACTCAAGCAAGCATGCTAAAAATAACTATGCGGACACTGTGGCATCAGCAGAGGTAGCTAGGTCTGAGCTCAGGTGGCTAGTGTGAATATCCACCAGTGCTGCAACATCCATGTTGAGCATGCTAGCATAAGTCTGTCTAGCTGGGCTGGAAGGCTCACTCTCACTTCCGGTTGTAATGCAGACATACCTGTAGCTGCCTCAAATGAAGTTTGGTTTGTGGTGTCAATTGAATCAGTTCATAACACTACCTACAAAACATGAACTTTGGGTGCACAAGGTTTAGCATAGACCGGAAGCATCATGTTCTGCTAAATATATGCACCCAATTCTGGGAGACATGGGTGGACGGCCTGGTCTTGTGAGTTACTGAGCACCCTCATCTTCCACTGACTTCATAAAAAGTTGAGGGCATACAGTGCCTTGGTGGATTGGGTGCAAAGCAGCCATTCAGTTTCCAAGGTTGCTAGTCTCAGAAGGTATGGCTACATATGCAGATACCCATGGCTGGTCCATGCCAGCTGACTCAGGCTCATAGAGCTCAGGTTGTGTAGCTCTTTAATTGCATTGCAAACTTCAGAGTTTGGGCAACAGACCAACTATAGGACCCAACTAAGTGGGAAGGTCCCAGAGCTAAGGCTATATGCCAAGCCCAAAAGTCAACAGTACAATTATACAATCCTGCGTCCTGCGTCAGCCGTACAGGACTGCTTCAGGTATCTAATTGCAGTGTAGACATACCCTTAAATCACTTTGCCTCATAATTGAGTCTAAATATATAACAAAATAATAGCCTTTGGGAGGGCAGGGGAAGCAATGCGGAAATGTAATAAATCTGTTACCTATAAAGGACATTTTTTAAAGCTTTTCTTTGATGTCATCTCTACATGTCTTAACCTTGTACAGTATCATTTCTGAATAGTTTACTGACAGGCATTTATTCAGATGGGTGAGCCAAGTGAGTTTAGCTGCTGACATAAAAGTTTAAATATGCAAAACATCACCTTTCTTCGATGCTTCAAAACTGTCATAGAGATTTATCTTTTGGGTGTCATATGTTAATGTGGTGTTTGGCAGGAGAGTTCTATTTCTGTTGATTGTGTTCACAGCAAATCTGAAGGCCAGTTCCTCTGCTCCCATTGGGCCAGATTCCACACATTCAAAAATACCCCCTGGTAATGAGAGAAAGAGAGAGAGGACAACCAGTCAGCCAAAACAACACACAGTCAATGTTTCAAGATTCCAGTTCAGTATTACACACTGAAATTAATGGGAATTTCTCAGTATTTGCCCTAGTGGGCCTGATAGTTAGCCTCCTGAAATAAATAGAAAGGTCCCCATAACTTCAGAGAGCTTTGGATCACATCCTAAATGCACAATATTCACACATATTTCACCAATAATTTAAATGATCAAGTTTTCTTAACTTTTCTGTTATGCAGAATATGGGACACCTGGTAAAATTCAGATTCAAATGAGTTCATTGGTGATAAATCAGAAGTTTTCAAGACAAACATTCAAATTAATATCAAGTTGACTGAACCTGTGTTAAAAAGAAATATTGAATTAAATTTTTTAATTAAATTAATGGAGATTGCCTATCTCCTAGAACTGGAAGGGACCTTGAAGGTCATTGAGTCTAGTCCCCTGCCTTCACAGCAGGACCAAGTACCATCCCTGACAAACTTTTGCCCCAAATCCCTAAGTGGCCTCCACAAGGATTGAACTCACAACACTGGATTTACCATGCCAATGCTCAAACCACTGAGCTATCCCTCCCCCTCAATGCTGTTTATCTTTAAAGCATTAGGGTCTACATAGGGAGAGGAGACACACACTCCTGTATGGTCATTCAGTAGGGATGACCAGCCATGCTGACCCTCCCCATCTGATGCTTTCCACCCTGCATGCCTGGCTGAGTCTCTGGAATGGACCTGACTCTCCTGGTAACTGACACTGTCTTCCTGAGGCACCACACATGGGGGTAGGAGGGGCATGCAGGATCACATATCCCTCTCTCCAGATTTCAGCTGGAGTTCGCATCAGAATATAGCCAGCAGCAGCCTGAGAAGGGACAGTAGCTGCTTCCAGCCCCAAGAGAGGATGGGGGAAGAATAACCTGTCCTGAGTTTCTTCAGAGCTCATCTCTCCTTCCCCCACACTAGCTGAAAGCAGCTTGCCCCTTCCTGCCCTAACAGTACTGAAAGGCAGACAGCACATCCAGGCTTCTGCTGGCCACCAACATAATCCAGCAGTCCTCTGTCCTCTGGCTACTGCTTGAGTAGGAAGGGATTAAGCTCTAAGGATGTATTGTGCACTAAGGTCCAGGGAATCTTACTGCAGGGGCTTGAGCAAACTGGGTTTGAGAGATGCTCAGCAGTAGACGGTACCAAGAAGATGGATCCACTTCACACTCCTGGAGAGCAGAACCCAGGGTGGTGGATGGGCAGATGCCTTGGGGTCTGCTGTGATGCCTACAGGTTCAGGGTGGGAACAGGCTGGAAATCACTTTCCCACACACACTCTAGAGCAGGGGTTCCCAACCTTTTTCGGTCCCCGTACCCTCTTGGCTTTTAGTAAACCTTCTCATATCCCCTATTCAATATGAAAGAAAATAAATTCTAGACTCTAGAATCCACAATTTTTTCACTAATACTACTATTTTAGGAATATTTCAATTAGGATAATCTAGTTATTTACCAAATATTCCCCATACCCCCTTGAAAAGCTTCTTGTACCCCCTGAGGGTACACATACCCCAGGTTGGGAACCCCTGCTCTAGAGCTTAGCTGAGGGGTGGAGAGGCATCTCCATGCCAGTAATGCACAGCACTTTGAAAAGTACAGGACTCAGCTGCTCCTAGCTAGCACCCCAGGCTGGAGGGTCTTAGACTTTCCCAGGGCAGCGGCTCAGCCAGAGGCAGTGGGGAAAGGAAAGGGATTGCCAGCCAGTCTGTTAGTGAACTCAGTGCTCCAATGGGGCCTGAATCTCTGCACAGCACTGTGAGTGGATGCACCCCACTGGGGGGAATATGAGTGTGCAGCTGGACTGATGTCGAAGCAGCAAAGTTGGGAGAAGACAGTGAAAGGGGAAGCACATAAAGGGTCAGTAGGTGGGCAGAACAGGCATCATGTACTGACCACTGCCTGGCACTTGCCTGCATTCATTAGTCAGTGCCAGCCAGAACTGTCCCTTTAAAAATCAGACATCTGGTCACTCTAAGTATTTCTGCCTAAATAATACTCAACACTCAAAATAAAACAGAAGGGAAGAATTCATGAATATTCCTACTGGTGACAATTTTGAAGGGATCCCCAGCAGCCCCGCCATCTACAAATCCAACTGCTGCACAAAAAATCCCCAAACCAAAACCAAACCAAACCACACACAACTAACCCCCTCCCCCTCCAAACAAAACAACAAAGAAGTCCACTATACCCTAGGTCAGGGGTGTCCAAACTTTTTTCAAAGAGGGCCAGATTTGATGAAGTGAACATGCGTGAGGGCCGACCATTTTGCCTGACATTCTTTGAACCATTAAAATTAAATGCAAATTAACTATTTTATGCAAAGTTTATTGCAAACGGCATACTTTTCATTTCGTCACATGGATGACAAATCTAAACAGGTGTTAAATCACTCTGCCTTTCATATCTGAAGGCCAGATGAAAAAAAAAATCCAGGAAGCTGAAATATATGTCAGGAACATTGTAAAGTACATTACATATTATTGGTAATAAAGGTTGTCTGTCAACTTTTAAGTTCAAAAAATATGAACAGGAACATTACACCAAGTATACATGTTGTGTCCAAATATATTTATAACTGATTTAGACCAACTGACATTAACTGAGATTTTACAATGTATTCATCTCAATACATATGGATTCGTTGGGGGCCATAAAAGATAGATATTGCCAAATTACCTGGGGGGGCCGTATTAAACCGGAACACGGGCCGCAATTGGCCCGTGGGCCGGACTTTGGACATGCCTGCCCTAGGTCCTTTACACAGCTCTGATAGAATAAAGAGCCAGTGACAGTGGAGGGAGAGGAGGGAGTCAGAAGCTGCGTTAAGAATAAAGCCAGTGTAGGAAGATTCTCCAGGTGAGTGACTGTTGCCAGAATGGCTCTATGCCATTTCACATGCAGCCTATGGAGGAGGCATGATCAAAGAGCACAGTGCTTCAGGTAATGCCATCTGGTGACAGCCTGCAAGGAGTCACAGCAGCCCCGAGGTTGCTTTTATCTATGCTGGGGGCTAGTGAGGACAAGAATGTGGAGGCTGTAAAAGCAACTTAAATGCATCTTTATCCCTGTACCAGCAACAAACCCTCAGGAGCATTCTGTCCCTTCTTTCCTAAAAGGCACCCAGGCGAATTTACCTATCTACTTAGCACGGTTTCCTAACACTTATAATAAGATGCAGTCTATTCCCTCTTCCAGACACACATGCCAGATAGTTTTAGTATGAGGTGACTCTGAGGATCTGACATCCAACACAGTGGAAAAAAAATCACTTGTGAATCAATGTGTTCATAACTCCAAGGTTTTCCAAAAGGGGCAGTTTCCAGGGCAGTCACTTGCTATCTGATAACTGGAGGACAGCCAAGGGCCACTCTGTCTGGGTTCATTAACTACAAGCCAAGTTTTATTTCAGTGCAACAGACATTTTTATCCCTCTTTTTGTAATAGCTTATGCCTGTTGTGGTTTTTTTCCCCCCCTCAACTGATATTGCTACCTGGCTCTTTATTATCCAAGAATTTCCCAATACAACAGTCTGCAGTTTCATAGCAGGAAGCTACTGAAAAAGCACAGATGTAGAGGAGCTGAGTCAGACTGAACATTTGCTAACTACAACAAACTTAGAAACAAGATGATTAAAGAGCAGATTAGATAGTCCAACCCTTTCAGAAAAGAAAGAAAACACTTACAAAACAACAGAGACTAGTCTATTTGTTGTTTTTTTAAGTTTGTCTGTTACAGACTAACTCCGCTACCCCTTTGAAGCAAGAAAAGAATGGGTATTTAGCTAGCACCTCACCACTTTCCTCCATTACGTATTATTAATCACAAAAAAGGCTTTTAGTTTTACAACCGCCTTACCACTTTCAGCCTCTTTCTCACCACAGGTTGGAGAACAGGTGTTAATTTTTTTCCCCTCTGCAGATGATACTTTAAAATCCTAACCAGAACCCTGGGAATAGATGCTCAAACAATTTTAACTTAAAAATATAAGTGTTGCATAATGAGGAGAGACATGGCAAATGGCTATTTAAATGTTAACAAGTTAAAATTCAAAGGAAGGCATAAGTGGGAGAAGCAGATGCTCAATTATAGCTAGATATGTTCAGAAATGATAAAAATTAGAACTGCAAGGAAGGCACGTATAAAAGATAAATAATACTACATGAGATACACATGAGATAAAAATACAAACTACAAAAGGGAAGAACTTGGATAATATACAATCTTTTAGAGATACGGCATAAAACTGTAAAGGCAATTGGAATACAAAATGATTAGAGAATATTAAAAATGATCACTTGAAAATATTACAACATAAAGATTGAAGACAACCTAAAATCCTGGGGAGTAATGAAGTTATGCTGTATTTAGTAGAATGTGATTAGATAGACAGCCTTCTGTATTGATGGCATTTAGAGGCTTAAAGTGTGGAAACATTAAAAGTCAGACTGTGGTGTGTAGGAGGATTCTATTTTGATTTCAGGAGACTATGAAAAATATCTTTGCAACAGAAAGTCTAAGATTACTGAATACAATTGATAAATATCATTACTAACTGTCAAGAAAGTGAAAGGAGTTTTCCCGAATAAGATCAGGATAAAAAATAGATTCTATAAACTTTGTAAAGGAAACTGAAAAATTGTTACTCAAAAACATAGATAGCAAGCAAACTGCAACAGTTATTTAATGTAAGATTATACCCTAGATGACAATGCATTCATATCAACAACAGACAAATCTAATACAATATCTGGTGGCATTTTTTCTGATTTTTACATTGGAAGATTTAAAAAAAAATGATGTTGATCTTAGACCTGTTATAATGTTTTCTCACACATTCTTATGTATTTCTGTGTTCTCTTTATGCTGTCTCCATAATATACAATCTTTTAGAGATACAGCATAAAACTCACCCCAGGAATGG